ATGGGTATAAGAGATTCGGTCACGATCAAATATAAATTTTTTACTTGCTCTTTATAATCTAGATCTCTGCTAAAGCGTTTCCTTCTCACTGGTTCGTCATCAATCCGAACTATATTTTTTACAATCTAAATAACATTTGGCGTAAGTCAATCCCTTTCCTGCGGCAGGCGAAATAGATTTGAGTAACTTAATTAGAAGACCATTAATCAACTGGTTTTTAAAATTGTATACGAAGAGTACATGGTGCCAAAAGTTCGACTGAGTTAGCATAACCCACTAGTTTTCTTAGATATTTTTGGTGGTTTTGACGAGTTAGTTCTGTAGTAAGCTCTCCTGCTTGAAGCCATAATTAATCGCATACAGTTTTCACTTATAATTTTTTTTCACTAACGATAATCGATGTCTTTCAGCATCGCTTAAAATAACGCTTTCCGCAAAAGTCACTTCTTTTAAATTCAACACATCCACGCTTAAGAAAATAGTGACTTGGATGAGATCTTATATGCCTACAGGCACAAAGCCTGAAAGCAATGCATTTATGTAGAATGGCTTCAGCAAGCCCAACAGAAATTAACCTTTCGCCTAAATATTTCCTAATATCCCTAGGCTAACTGTAAAAAGCGATCCCGATTGATTGTATGAAATTAAAAGAAAAACTTTATGTGTATTGAGATAAGGTTTTTATAGTTGATTTTTTTTATTTTCGATTACTTCGGGCAAGTCATAAGGCTTTTGAAAATAATTTCGATTTCGATTTTCAAGAAAAGATTTCATAGAAATCAATCATTGGTGTCTTTACATTTATTAATGGGAAGCTTATAAAAGTATCAAACACTTTAAGACGGCAGTGAACAACAGGATTTCGCTTTGAATGATAAAATAGTTTCAATTTTATATATTAATACGCAACTGGATAGATAAGAAAGAATATCTTTATATTTTCACAACGATAATCACAGATAATACCACCAAGTTTAGGATTATAGTTTTTCACTCGTTACAACATATTCTATAGAATCGCTTGAAGTCTATTAAATTGTCTATTAAGTTTTAAGAATGGAGAATAATAGGCATACTCTGATTATTGTCCGTAGAATGTATATATGTCCTAATGAAAAATATTCATGTTTAAATTCGATCTATTCACATCTTGATTGTAAATAGTGTAATATTTTGAGAACAACCACTAATGATGGCTCTGTTTTGGACTCAATGTTGTTTCAGCTTGTTTTCAGCGAGATGTAAAATGACATGTCCGAGCAAAGACGTGACGTGAACATGTGATTCGACGAAAAAAGTATCACATTCTCTTTATTGCATTTTTTATTTATTTATTTATTTATTTATGAATTTTTCTATATTAAACAAATACATATCTGATTATCCAATTGAAGAGTTGCCTTTATATGTTACATGTAAGCACAGTGGTGCTTAGGAACGACTATGGGTAGACAAGACGGAAAAGGGGAGTAGTGTTGGTGTTTAGTACTATAAAATATGCTCACATTACCCGTTGCTCTCGCATTTTTATAGGACATGTTGTAACACACTGGATATACTGGAAAGTATAATGTACATCCAAAGTGGAATTTAAAACTTTTACGTATTCTACTTAAAAGTGGAAATATCTCTTAAAGCATGAAAAGGTTCCTCAGCAAGATTGATCAATTAGTGAGCGAGGCGATTAAAGCAATACAGATGGATTAATAGCATGGGCAAGCCAAGATGCTCAAGTGTGGCAAGCGTATTGGTTATATACAGTGTTCAACGATAACACACTCGCCATATGGCGTCGACTACCTCCTGGCTTAGACTACACTGACCTGACATCTCTTCATTTATCCGTTGCTGCACTTTCGTCGTGAAGACTAAAACATATTGACTTCTTATTAGTCTCCACATAAATGGCAAGTTTCAGCTTCCTTTCTGAATTCATACAGAAGCCATAATAACGAAAAAATAAACAAGTTACACCAAAGTCTAAAATATAAAAAAAAAATATATCTTATGTGTTCTAGGACTTATAATTCCATATAAAAAAAAACGCAAACATTAATAAATTTTTTCACTTTTTTTTTTTGTTATAAATTTAGAAAAGTTACCCGTGTTTTGGCAGACACAAACGAATATAATTATTTAAGAAAATCCTTGCTTGGGACTCTAATTGGTCCCAGTATAATCTCAAACTTCAATGGTGGCTATAAAAACCTAAACAAATCAAAAGGAAAACGTATGCAAAGAAGTTAACATATTTTCTATAATGTGTTGCCAACTGCCATAACTATATTTAAACACTTTTTGCCGAATCACTATCTAATGCTTTCTTTCACAATAATCTCTCTCAGCGATAGCAAACATATTAACGGAGAGTTCAAACATATAATTAAAAAAGAGAAAAAACGAAAACAGACAAACAAGAAAAATAAATTCGGTCGCGACCGGCTCTTTTATGCTCATCACCGTAATCCCAAAAAAAAAAAAAAAAAAAAAGGAAAGAACTACATTTCCTGTTCTATAATGTGGGGTGGACGAGGCTGATCTTTTGTATTTTTAGAGTAAAAGTGGAAATTTCTATGGTGTATGTGCTGCGCTTGGTGAGTAACAAGCAAAAAACACGGATAACAAAAGTGTTCATAGATTTTGCTACATAGCCATGTAGGCGTTGTAGGCGTGTTCCTTGAAAAGTTTAGTTCACTTTCAAATTCTTTGCAAGTTTTTAAGCGATTGTGCAAATGAACCGATGGCCATGCTTAAGTGCACTCCGAACTTAAAACTGGCCAAGAATTTATATACCGTATAGGATTTTTGAATTTTGCTGCTATGCGTTTAAAAAAAAAAAACGAAACTATGACACACTATAAAATTGAATAGGCATGGTCGATTTTTTCCATTTTTGAAGAGATACTATAAGATCACCCACAGAATATACGGTCAAAATTTTGTACACTTATCTGCTATAGTTTATGAGTAATGAGCGAAAAAACAGTTTTTTATTACTTTTGAAAAACAGAGGTGTCCTCACTTCACGTGGCGCGGTGTTCTTCAACCGATTTGGCCCATTTCCGTGCAAGACCCCGCAAAATGTTTCTGCTAAATTTGAGGTCGATAGCATATGTTTTGTAGCCAGGACACAATAGACATTACACAGATGGACCGACGGATATGCTTAAATTAATTCAAAGCTTGACGCTGATCAAGAGTCTCTCTGAAGCTTCCTTCTGGACATTGCAAACGTTTTCACAAAATGAATATATCGCTCATCCTTCAGTGATGGGTATAAAAGCAAACAAGTCATCAAAACTGCGTCAATACGCTGTACGCCCTTTCAACTGCTGGGGTTATTAAGTTGAAGGAATAAAAAGACACCTATTTTAATCTATTTGTTTAACATTTCACTCAATTCCTTTGCATAATCACTTACAAAATACTTTCTTTTTTTTTTTTGCTCTTTTCCCAAGTCGTTTGAACCCTAAGCAATTCTAGATTGATTAAATTAATTCAAATTCCAAAAAAGAAAAACATTTTCTGGCTAGAAAACGATAATAACAATAATAAAATAGTAATAATAATAGGAACAGCAACGGTCTCATAAACTACTTCAGCTTTTAACCGATCAGTTTACATTATATTAAATGTAATTCAATTCAATGCGATTGATTTTACATTGTTTGAAAATCTGAAAAGGTAACAAGACGCATCATGTCTGCGATAAGACAAGTAAAAAGCTATAGTCGGCCAATAAATACCCTGCAACATCCTACAGTTACTCATAATAGCAACTTTTCAAAACAAAGCGTTATTTGGGAAGTTATCGAAAAAGTGATCCGATCCAAACCATTTGCAATGCCGTTCGTCCATAGGCCAAAAAATGTCGATGTACCAAATTTCATCGAAGGATCTCAACAGTTATGGTCTGTAGGCTGAGCAAAAGGAAAAGGATAGGCGGACGGACGGTCGAACAGGCAAGCTTAAACCGTTGATAAGTGATTCTGAATCAACCTGCATTATAACAGATGGGTCTATCTCAAGTCCTTCTAGGTGTTGCATACACCCGTGATAATTTAATATACCTTGATATCATAAATGGGCTCAAATCGACCAATCGCTGCAATTTTCACACTTACACGTATTGGGGACATGACTAACCCATCGCATGACACCTATGTAAGGCATAACTAACTATATGTGTGCACAATTTTTGCGATCCCTATCAAGTGTTCTGAACGTTATAAAGGAAATAGCGAATGGCCCGCTTCACTTTTAACCCGTGTCTCGATCACAAAATGTTTGATTTAACTAATAATGTTTGCTTCAAACAACAATTTATTTCCGAATAAAAATTTGGGTTAAATTTTTTTTCAATAACTTTTAATTATTGCAGTTATTTTTATTTTTTTAATTTATTTTTTTATTTATTTATTTTTTTTTCGTTAATGTTTTATTTGATCTATTTTTTTTTTTTCTTTTTTTTTTTTTTTTGTTTACAAAAATTATTTTTATAATGATGGTGGGGATGATGTGGATACACAACAG